CGGGATTTCAATTCCGATGACCGACAGCTTCTTACGGGCAAACTCCACACCAAAAATAGTGCCGACACACCTCCTACTAATGTAAGAGGGGCTAGAAGTTTTCTTGGACATGTTGCTTTTTACAGGCGTTATATTATAGATTTTTCAAAAATTACCAAACATCTATGCCAACTTTTAGAAAAGGATAAGAAATTTAAATTTACTGAAGATTGTTTAAAAGCCTTTAAGTTATTAAAATAAAAGCTAATAATAACCCCTATAATAGTTTCACCTAACTGGGAGAAACCATTCAAACTGATGTGCGATGCTAGTGATTATGCTATTGGAGCTGTTCTTGGACAAAGATACGATAAGATTTTTAAAGTTATATACTACGCCAGTAAAACTCTTAACAATGCTCAAATTAACTACACTGTTACTCAGAAAGAGTTACTAGCTATTTGTTCAAGAAAAGATATTGTTTATGCTTTTGACAAATTTAGATCTTATTTAATTGGAACTAAATGTGTTGTGCACACTGATCACTCTGCTATTAAATATCTGATGCAAAAGAAGGATGCCAAACCAAGGTTAATTAGATGGATACTTTTGATGCAAGAATTTGATTTTATGGTTATTGATAGAAACGGAACTGATAATCAAATTGTTGATCATTTGTCAAGAATTGAATATCATGAATTCTCTAACACCGATAATGAAATTACGGACAGTTTCCCTAATGAACAACTGTATAATATTAATGAGTGAAAAATACCATGGTATGTTGATATTATTAATTATATTGTAAGTGATATTTTGCCACCTATGCTGCCATTGCAACAGCAAAGAAAATTCATTCATGATGCAAAAACATATTTTTGGGATGAGCCTTATTTATATAAACAATGTAAGGATCTTATTATGAGAGGATGTGTACCTTATGAAGAAACTGAACTAAGTATTCATAAATATCATGATTCTGAATTTAGAAGACATTTTAGAATTGATAAAACTGCTTGTAAAATTTTACAAGCTGGATTCTATTGGCCTACTCTCTTTAGAGATCTTTAGAGATACATAAAAACTGCTTATTTATATTGGCCTGCTCATAGAAGTTAAGATCTTTGATGTTTGAAGCTTAGATTGCATGGGACCATTTATTTCTTCATCTGGTAACTTATACATATTAATTGCGGTAGACTACGTTTCAAAGTGGATTGAAGTATAAGCCTTACCTCGTTGTGACGCTAAAAGTGTTTCAAGATTTTAAATGAAAAACATTTTCACTAGATACGGAATGCTGAGAGTGATTATCACTGACGGAGGATCTCATTTCAGGAATAAATACATTCAGAAATTGGAAGAAAAGTTTAATGTTATTCATAGAATCTCTACTTCCTATCACCCTCAAACAAGTGGGTTAGTTAAAGTTTCTAATAAAGAGATTAAAAAAATACTTGAGAAGACTGTAAACCCTTGTAGAGTAGATTGGTCCACTAGACTGGATACTGCATTATGACCTTACAAGATTGCTTATAAAACTCCTATTTGAATGACTCCTTATAGGCTGATTTTGGGAAAGACTTGTCACTTACCAGTAGAATTGGAGCATAAAGCATATTGGACGATTAGAGAATTCAATTATAATTTGAAAGATGCTAGTGAGAAGAGATTGTTACAAATTAACAAATTGGAAGAATTTAAAAATGAATATTTTGATAATGACAGAATTTATAAGGAGAAACTAAAGTTATGGCATGATCGAAAGATTAACCAGAAGAACTTTGAACCAAGACAAGAAATTTTGCTTTACAATACAAGGCTGAAGTTATTCCCTGGGAAATTGAAGTCTCGTTGGTTAGGACCCTTTACTGTGACTCAAGTTTATACTTACGGCCCTCTCTTTATTTTCATCAGAAACTGTAATCATGCATTGCTCCTGAAGGATCCAAGAGCTTTGACAGCTGCAGCTCTGAGTACATACTGGTGATAAATTGCAGCAGCTGCTGCTCCTACAAGTGGTCCCACCCAGAAAATCCACTGCAACAGAGAAGACAAAAGCTTCCAATTTCATAATGGGTGGTCAAAGCATCTTCATTCTTGATTTTTTTTTTTTTGAAATTTGCATATAGCATCCAGTTTTTTATGTATTTACATATCACACCTAAATTCTAATTTTCACATAACATTGCTATTTATAAATTAAGCACCCACCCAGGTTATTTTTTTGAACTGCCAAACATACGTATTTACACGTGCTGCCACGATCAAACAATTGAGAGTATGATAAAAATGAAAAATATGGGTTGGGGCTTTACCATGAATTTTGATATTTTATTGGGTGGTTGATTTGTAAATATCAATTTTCGGGTGGTCTGCATGTAATTGCCCCTTTTGACTTTTTGTAACGTTGTTTGACACGCTGCTGTCATATTTCTGTTTGGCCATAAATTTTTGTAGAATTGTCAAACAAAATATAATTTTTTTCATAACTAGACTTGTCATGCTCAGAGTTTGGTGGTTAGAATATAGAAGGAAGTTGTTATTCTTCTTTTTCAAAGCGAAAAAATGTTCATAATACCCACCCTAACTTTCAAAAAATTGAATTTTTTTTTTTACAATTCTACCAACTATTTTTACAAACAATTATTGATGCATCAAACAGAGCTTCACCATAAATAAGCATATTGAAATGTCACCTGATCATCCCAAGCTTTGCTTTTGTTGTAGATAACAGCAGCTCCGAAGCTTCTGGCTGGATTGATTCCTGTACCAGTGATGTGAATGGTCGCCAAATGTACCATGAACACTGCAAAACCAATAGGTAACGGTGCCAACACCTATATAAAAAAAAAATTGCAAAAATGTCAGGATTAATATTGAATTTTACATTTTCCATAAATATTATATGATTTTTAATTAACAAAATATGAATTGTAAATTTGTAATTGCAAAACAACCCAGTCAAGTTGCCATTTATTTAGTACCCTGATTTTTTTTTTCTTTCACTAAAATCCTCGTAAATAACAGATTTTACGCTTCCTTACTTTGTTAAATTTGGTCTAAAAGATTAATTTATTTTGATATGCATAATTTATTATATTAATTGGGTTGAATAATAATCTTATAAATACTTAAATTTCTAAAGACAAATTGGTAATTATTTTATTTATAATAATCTTATAAATGCATAATTGGACTAAACTCATATATTAAATTATATAAAAAAATAAATCACAATCAGCGGTTGCTTTCTGGGGTATTTACATACATAACCCCCAATTTCTATTTATTTACATCGCAAGCACCCAAGCTTTATACATATATATAATTATATATAGGTATACGCAATTGATAATCCATATCAACTGATTGCATATTTAATTTTGAATAAGTTAAACTATGAAGAATAATTATCTTCCACTATAAGTGAACTCATATATGAAAATAAATTCATAATTATAAACAAAATAATCTAAAAAATGCTTGAAATTTCCTGTAGTTAATTATAATAATTTTTTTTTAAAATAAAGGAAATTTTACATATTTATCGAATAATATTTATGTATATACATGTGATTTTTTTAAGTGATAATATATAAATAGCATGGATATAAAAACTATTCAAAAAAATTACAATGACTATTGAAAAAGAAAATTTAATTCGTAGTTTTCTAGCAGCCACCGCAGGTAGTCAGATATGATGAGAAAAATACAAACAATGCAGACAAAACATAATTTTAACAAACATTGTGCAGCATCACACTACACCGCCATCTTTGCCAGGGATATTTGCGTACATAAGATGTACGCAGCGCTGCGTACATCAAGGGTTATTCAGGGGGTACAATGGGGTTATATCTGGGTTATACCCCCTTGTAACCTCCGGTATAACCCGAATATAACTCCCCTGTACCCCCAGAATAACCTCTGATGTACGCAGCCTTGCGTACATCTTATTTACGCAAATATTTCACTTGCCATCGAGGTACTTTCAAGTTGGAGCAATAAATAAAAAATTTATCATTCACAAATAGCTCATGTTCGGCTCAATAAGCAGCTCGTGTCTGATTAGGTTAAGCAAAGAAATCAAACACAATAATTTTTATCTCGATTTATGAACAAGCTAAACATGAATAAACTTTTCTTTGATCATCCTAAACTCTTTTTAGCTCAAATTAATTAAATAATTAATAAATAGCATCATTGCAACATTTTTATATTAATTTTTTATGTTGTCTAAAAATGCTAAATTTTATTATCTATAAAATTAATTGAGCTAAGTTCAAGCCGAACATGATCTAAAACAAGCAATCAAATTTAAATCGAGCCAAACATGAACATGCTATTCACAAGCCTATTTCAAACAGAAAAATAAAATGAAACTAGTCGAACACAAATAAGCACTGGGCTCGCTCAAATTCGACTTATTTACACCCCTACTTCTAATCTTGCATCTTTAAGTGGTCGATAATTCAACTTTATCAGTTTTTATCGTCTAGTCAATATTCTTGTTCATTCTAACACATAGTTAATAAACTCAAGTTGTCATCTTACTAAGTAGATACAAGGCAAATTGATTTTTAAACTATACTAACTAGTGATCTTGCAATAATGAAAAGATCATTTAAATTTATATGCATAACATGCAACCAAACACGAGTGTCCACATCTCATTTTTGTTAATGATATTGAGATACTAAGATTTGTGTGAGAGTACATAAATATTTATCGCAAACATGTTGAATTTTCAACATTAGACCGCATTGACAATCAACAATTCAATCAATACTTAGAACGTAAAAGCAAACCACAAAATACATAATGCAAGAAATCAAATCCAACTAACATAAAATTATCCGGACACACAAAAATACTTTTGTTTATTTGAAAAGAAAATTATTTTTGATATTTCTAAAATGATTTTAAAGAAAATTTTATTCTAACTCTCTAATCTAAATTTTAATTAAAAAAAGAGCTTCAAATTAATTAAATTTAATATTAAATGTGTAATCTATAAAATTTTATTAATTATTTATATATATTAGATTATTGTAAAATTTTACAATTTAAAATTCTTCTATATTTAACTTTATTTTTTAAATAAATTGAAATTAATTATAATTGGAACGCTTCCCCTATATATAACTAATTGATATCCTTCAACTAAGGAAAAACATGAAAATTATTTTTAAGCATTTATTTATTGAATGTACTAATATTATTAAACATCAAATGCTCAAATATAATTTAATTATATATTTTTATTAATTCAAGCTGCATTATATAAATCATTTATTTGAATATATTGTTTGAGATGAGCTTAATTTACTTTTTTTCTGGTAATTAAAAAAATATTCTGTATTGTTTAATAAAAATAAATAATTATAAGCCTTTTATTAATTAATTAATTATTATTATTATATTTATAAGTTCTAATAAAAGTTTTTTCCTTAAATATAGTTTGTGCCGAGCTTTGAAAATTTTTTAGCTCCCAAAACGTAGGTGAAGGGTGGCGAGTATTTAATTTTAAGACTTTAATATTTTTTTAATTTTTTTAAACTATTATAAATATGATTAAAAGTTGAAATATAATCAGTATTAAATTATTATTAATTATTAATTATTTAATATTATGAGGATAATCTTTTTATTTTATTATATGATATTAACAAGTTTAGTGAAGTTTTAAATTTAAGGAAGAAAATGGAATGAAATAAGGGTGCAATCTCGCAAATTTGATCTCTGAATATACGAGGCTTTGTGCGCAACTATAATGGCAACAATACTTTGGATCGCTAATGAATAATATTTTTGTGGAGGGGTTATTACGTGCGGAATCTGCACATACAGATTAATGATAGTTTAGTGGTATTTGGGGTATTTTGCTTTACAGTATCACCAATACTATCAAAATACCACCAAATCCGCACGTATCTTATTTAAAACACTTATAAGCTGTTTTAATCAATCGATGTAGGATAACTTGAGACACATGATCCAATCAGAATATTTCAAGTAAATTCACAGAAAGAATAAGTCGGTATCGGCATATAAAGTTCAACAAGTTGATCAGCTGAAGCCAAATTAGACAAAGTACTAAATCTTGGCTCAGCCTATTTGTCAAGCAATTCATACAGTCCCATTCAAAAAAATTCATTTAACAGGCTCACTAGTTGAGCATCTCTAACTTTATCAACTCACTTAACTGCTTAATTATGCCATTACAGACGACGCACTACATGTGTATGATACTCGGCTTTCCCAAATGAGTTTTATGTAAAATTGAATATAATATTGATTTTTTAATTTTCATAATAACTGTTGTGAAAGCGATTGACGATAAAGTGAAAAATATAAATAAGAGAATCACACAAACACATAGATTTACATGGTTCGGTAAATTGCCTATGTCCACGGAACTGTGAAGGATTTTATTGTTTGAGGAACCACACAGTCAATCGCTTTGATTACAAGAGCTCATCGTGACTCCCTCTCTCTCCTCCTTCCCTTTGCTTCGCAATCCGTAAACTTTCAGAACCGGGAAAAAAAAGGGGGCGGGAAAGGCTAATCTTCTCCTATGAATCGATTGCTAATCTCTCTATCCCTTACTTAGTCACAAGAAGGGAGGGAGGAGATGCGAACAAGGAAGGCGCATGCAAGGGAGAAAAAATAGGAAAAAAATAAAACAGATTAAAATTTATCATAGATGCTAGAACAACCCAAATAGAGGTAGTGGATCGGGCTCCACAATATCCAACAATTCTCTCACTTAGAGGTTGGTAGAGTGGTTGTATCGTCCACTGGTTGCATCGTCTTTTTCCTCAAACGTGATATCATCCATCTCTGCAACTTATTACCCCTATTTTTATGCTAGAAGACCAACTGAAGTTGCACACAACTTCAGTTTCTCAAGTCTGACACCCTTAGTTAACATATCAGCATGGTTCTTGCTTCTACAAATTTTCTCAAGTAACAATTGTTCGTCATTTAACAATAATCGTATAAAATGATATCTGATATGAATGTGTTTGGTCTTGGATTGAAATGTTGAATTCTTAGCAAGGAATTTTGCGCTCTGACTATCACTGTATAGAGTGCCTTTTTATTCTTCTTACGCAATTCTTCCAAGAAGCCTTATAGTCATATCATTTCCTTTGCAGTCTCTGACACTGTTATATACTCAGCTTCTGTAGTAGAAGTAGAAATTATTTTATATAGATTAAAGTCTCATGATATTGCAGTGCCACCAATTATATAAACATAACCCGTAGTACTTTTTCTGCTATCAATGTCTCCAGCTAGATCAACATCAACATAGCCCAATACCTCTAAACTCTTTCATGAGAAACATAAGCAGGTTTCTCAGGAGCCCTTTAGGTACCTCAAAATCCACTTCACAGCTTCCCAAAGTTCATTTCTTAGGTTACTCATGTATCTGCTTACAACTTTCATTGCATGGGCAATATCTGGTCTTTTGAACTTCATAACATACATAAGTGAACCAATAGTTGAAGCGTAAGGAATCTTACTCATGTGGTCTTCCTCCTTCTCTAACTTGGGTGACTAATTCTTGCAGAGTCTGAAGTGATTGCCCAAAGGTGTGCCAACTGGCATGACCTTGTCCATGTTAAACCTATTGAGTACCTTTTTCATATACTCAACCCATGAGAATCTTAACGTGCCTCTAACTCTGTCTCAGACAATTCTCATGCTAAGGATTTGCTTTGCAGCTCCCAAATCCTTCATTGCAAAGTAACTTGTCATCTGCTTCTTCAAATTATTGATCTCATCAATACTGCCCCTACAAGAAGCATATCATCCACGTACACAATAATAGAATAATATAAAAATTGTCCAAAT